TAATGTTAAAATCTTTTAAAATATATAGATACCGTTACAGCATATGCCTCTGACAATGGCTCAGATGTAAAAAGAAAATACATTCAATTACAGAGTTCACTGTAAGTTGATTTTGTTCAATTCAATGTCAGAAAATTGTTACTACCAATGGGACTATGCCTCTTCTATTTTTATTTAAAATGAAAAATATAAATCTATAAGAAATATTAGCCTATCTATTAATACACAGTTCACCTTAAGTAAGCATACACTATCATTGATTTGCTCAGGTTGAAATAATTCAGAAGCTGAAAATGAAGGCTTTCTTTTAAAATGATTTGTCATTACCCAATTATTTCTTTTGGACAGAATGTTTGCTTTGTGAATATTAGTTTGGTAGAACAGAATACCGGCTAGTTAGAATTACCAATTTTATTTGTATAAATCTAGTAGAAGCATACATAGATTTTATCATACAGTAACTAAATTGATCATGCAAACATACACATTTCAGAGGAAACCAAAATAAAGATTAAAATTTGAAAAAAGTAGCTATATAAAAAAGAGACATATTTATATTTATGATAGAATAAACAGGAATAAATAAATACCACTGTGTGAAAATAACAAACCTGAGAAAGAGAAATTAGGTGCTTAAAAATTGAGCACTAACATGGAAAGGTAAGGCTTAAGAAACACATCCATACATTAAGGTTATGCACTAATAAAGTACTTTGCTTGATTTATTTGGGATTGCACTTTGCCAAATGTTCAGCTCGGGAAAATGAAGAGATCACCTGAAAAAGAGTACAACTACAGTTTTCTCTCTTACCTGCCACTGAGGAGGAAGCCGATAACCACTGCCAACAAAATGACTCCCACTGTCACAGACACAGCAATTATAGGAATCTGGCTTTCATCGCTGGATGCTGCAACTGCTGATAGGAGACAAAGAATAGAGTTTGTGTCTAAAGTGATCATATGCATTCAAAAGAAAAGCTAATTAATACTTGATAATCAATTAATGGCTTAAACAATTCTGCCACATTTGGCTATAATTTCTTCCTAAAATATCTTGTAAAAAACAGATTCTTTAGGAGAAAATAATTACTCTGTAAATAAAACAGAAAATCTTCATTAAGATTTCCATGCCACCATAAAAAGCAAATGTATGTTTTTGCATAAAATTTTTGAACTTAAACTTGCAAGGTAAAATAAAATTTCATCCTTTACTTCAAATACCTTAATCTGAATAGGAAGGGGTAGGTATAGGACATTTGACATCTAAAAAGTCTGCATGTTGCTGTGCTACAGAACTAAATTCATTTACTTCAGAAAAATCCCCCTCACTTTGATAGGCACAGTTTACAATAATGCCTAATATCTAAATAAATAGCTAATTTACTGACAATTGACAGTAATGAGAGGAAGTGATTTTAAGGAGATTCTATTTTAAATGTTTATTTACTGATTATGTTATTACTTAAAAGAAGTATA